AAAATACACACACACACACACACACACACATCAAAATGAGTCATTTCAGGGTGAAGAAGGTTTCAGAGTGGTAATATTTGAGCTGTGATAATAGGGATGAAGCTTCATGGGCACAAGGTAGAAAAGTGTGAAAGTGGGGAGTTAGTATGGCAGGCCACTATGGGGCAAAATAGCAAACACTGGCCCTCAGTGCTCTCCATTTCTTCTAAGTCATGTCAGTGCATATTTACCTATTCTCCATCCATCTTTGCTACCACACCTCTTTCTTATGACGGAACATATTGCATTGCAATAATCAGTATCACTTAATAACATGAAGGCTAGAGGTACACAGATGAGACAAGCATACCTCATCATTGCCCCCAAAGACACACACAAAACAAACAAGGACTTGCACATATGCAACTACAAATTAAGATGAGGGTTATGAAAGAAAAAAGTCCAAGGGGCAATGAGTAATTAGAAAAGTAGGAAGTGTTTAAGTTGAGACATGAAAGCTGAACAGGGGTGACCCATGGAAATGTTTAGTGAGGACAGCATTCTAGGTGAGGGAAAGGCATGTGAGAAGACTCTGAAGCCAAGAGACCTTGGCTCGAGTGAACTGCAAAGATGGGCCAGTGACCTCAAGGCTGAAGGGAAAGGAGACAGAAGCCAGGTATTGTGGGGACTTGAAGGTGGGTGAATTCAAAGAGGAAGCCATAAAGAGTTTTAAAAGGGGAGTAATGTGTTGTGGTATATTGGGTTTTTTTGTAATTAATTTTTTTTCAATTACAGTTGACATTCAATATTATGTTACTTTGGGTGTGTAGCATAGTAGTTAGACATTTACATAACTTATGAAGTGATACCCCCGATAGGTCTAGTACCCACCTGGCACTATACATAGTTATTATAATATTATTGACTATGTTCCCTATACTGTACTTTACATCCCCATAACTATTTTGTAATTGCCAATCTGTATTTCTTAATCCCTTCACATTTTTCACCCAGCCCATCAAACCCCTTTCCATCTGCCAACCATCAGTTAGTTCTCTATATCTATGACTTTGTTTCTCTTTTGTTTGTTCATTTACTTTGTTTTTCAGATTCCACATAAAGGTGAAGTCATATGGTATTTGTATATTTTTTAATTATTTCACTTAGCCAAATACCCTCCAAGTCCATCCATGTTGTTGCAAATGGTAAGATTCACTCTTTTTTATATCTGAGTACTAATCCATTGTATATATGTACCACATCTTCATTATTCATTCACCTACCAATGGATACTTTGGATGCTTCCCTATCTTGACTATTGTAAATAATGCTGCAGTAAACACAGGAGTACATGTCTTTTTGGATTAGTGTTTTGGATTTCTTCAGATAAATACTCAGAAGTAGGATTGCTAGGCCATATGGTAGTTCTGTTTTTAATTTAAATTCTCTTTTGCAAAGAGGCTGCACAATCTGCAATCCCACCAATAATGCATGATGGTTTCCTTTTCTCCACATCCTTGCTAATACTTATTGCTTGTTGATTTATTGATAATAGTCATTCTGAAAGGGGTGAGGTGATAGCTCACTGTGGTTTTAATTTGCATTTCCCTGATGATTAGTGGCATTGAGCATCTTTTCATAGGTCTCTTGGCCATCTGTATGTCCTCTTGGGAGAAATGTCTGTTCAGGTCCTCTGCCCATTTTAAAATGTATTAATTTTTTTGTGTTAAGTTATATGAGTTCCTTATATATTTTGGATATTAGCCCTTTATCCAATGTATCATTTGCAAATATATTCTTCCATTCACTATTCTGTCTTTTCATTTTGTTGAGGTTTCCTTTGATGTGCAGAATTATTTTTGGTTTGATTTAGTCCATTTTTTTTAAAGATTTTTATTGGGGAATTGAAGGGATGGGAACAGTGCTGGGGAATTGGGGGAAGGGGAACAGAAAAGTTGCTGTCCTTTTGTTCTTCAGTCTAGTTGTGGAAGACATTGCTTCACTGGCCCAAGTTGGCACCATCATTGTGCTCTTCTCGGCTGAGTTAGATCAGTTGCCGGCTTCTGGACGGCCGCTCACTGCAGCTTGAGGGCCACTCACACTGGCTGCTGGCCACACACAGTAGCCCATGGCAACCCACTGCCACAGGGGCTGCAGCCTACACCATCCCCAGCGACTCATGGCAGCCCAGCTCCAGGTTGAGCTGTTGTTCAGCATCTTAGCTGTACAGGGCAGTGTCACTGGCCCTCATATGTGGGATCTGAACCGGGGCCCTCTGGCATCTGAAGCCAGTTCTTAACCATCATGCCACTTGGCCGGCCCTTAGTTCATTTCTTTATTTTTTCTTTTGTTTCCCTTGCTCAAGGAAATATATCCAAAAGAGATTTTTGGGATATATTTCTAAGAGCAAAGTCAAAGAGTTTACTGCCTATGAGTTCTTCTAGGAGTTTTATAGTTTCAGGACTAACATTTAAGTCATTAATCAATTTTAATTTAATTTAATTTTTTATATGGTGTAAGAAAGTGGTCCAATTTCTTTCTTTATTTTTTTAATGTATCTCTCCTGTTTTCCCAAAGCCATTTATTGAAGAGACTGTCTTTATTTCATTGTATATTCTTGCCTTTTTGTCATAGATTAATTTATCATATACGTGTGGATTTATTTCTGGGATCTCTACTCTGTTCCATTGATCTATGTTTTTATGTAAGTACCATGTTGTTTTGATCACTATAGATTTATAGTATAGTTTGCCATTAGGTAGTGTGATACCTCCAACTTTGTTCTTCTTTTTCAAGACTGCTTTAGTTATGCAAGGTCTTTTGTGGTTCCATATAATTTTAGGATAATTTGTCCTACTTCTGTGAAAAATGTCATTGATATTTTGATAGGGATTGCTTTGGGTAGTATGGACATTTTTAATGATATTGATTCTTCCTATCTATGACCCTGGTATATGCTTCCATTTATTTGTATTTTCTTCAATTTCTTTCTTTAGTGTCTTATAATTATCTAAGTAAAGCTGTTTTACCTCCTTGATTAAATTTATTCCTAGGTAGTTTATTTATTTTTTTATTAGTAGTGTAAATATTTTATTTGCGCATATGCAATGAAAAGACCAGAAAAGTAACATGAACTGCTTTTATAAAACATTTCTAATATTGCTAAGAAGCAGCCCCATTAATAGACAAACAGAAAAGAACATGCCAACATTGCTGTCTATTTGTAGATTAATAAATAGGCAATTATTTTAATAGATGCTCATCAGCATTGAGCTTTGGAAAACAGCTGATTGTGGTAAAGGACCAAACTATGTGTGTTGTGTATCTCTTGGTTGAGTAGCTTTTTTCATCAAAATGAATGTTGAGTCAACAGAGAGAATCTTGTCATGTTCATTTTAAAGTACATGTTTATGAAAAGGTGCTCGCAGGTGACAGTTTTAAAAGCAATCTTTATGTAAATAGGTATGCTAAAGTGAAGAAATGTTAACTGATCCCTAAACTGTCCTTGTAGTTAAGTATATATATTAAAAAACTATAAGTTAAAATAACAGATTGTATAGCATAGGCTGATGCATTTTTAAACAATATTTACAATATTACCCAGAGGCTTAGGTGGGAATTAAAGAGAAGTGTAAAAACCATAAAAAACTGCACCAATTTTATAGCAAAATATCTGTACATTTAAAAAGAGATCATATAACTACACATTATCCAAGGAAAATTGGACCTTCACCAAGGAGTTCACATAAGCACAACATAAAATAAGAAATTCAGTGGTTAAGTACTATACAATAAACTTTATAATTAATATATTGATGTAATATACCAAGAAGGTAAGCCAGAAGCAGAATGTATATTATGAAAAGTACAAATTAGCTTCAGTCCAGTTTTTTACTTTGAAATGGATCAAGTGCCCTGCCAGAGAGGAAGGAAAAATAACTGGCTTGATTGGGCATTTAGTCTCATTAAATATCATTTCAACTTAATCCCAAAGTGAATATTTTAGCAACTTAATTGCAATACCCCATAAAGTGATCTGGGAAATACAACTTCTTAGTTTTGATATATGATGCCAAATATATCTTCTCCAATTTACAGAAGTGGTAGTGGGAGGGGCGGGGAATGATTGTCATAGGAGCATAAGGCCAGGTTATAACACTACTAGCAGAAGTAATCTTGAGTACTTGATAGAGCTAGCAAACTTCTTCCTGACTAGCAAGGCACCAATTTCTGTTCCCAGGTTTGACCCATAATGGTCCTCAGAAATCCTAATACTGATTACTGAGATGTTAAGTTTAGTGCTAATTAATAAATACATCTGCATTATTTGTAAAGGTGCCTCTAGCTGAAGAACACAGTACTGCAAATAAGTTCTTTGCATTTGTATGCCAGCATATCCTTGCATTCAATACCGGTGAATCTCTCCAAGAGCATTGTACCCTAGCACAGAAGTAGTGGAATGAAGGAGACAACTGAGCAACTTCTGTGCTACTGTAATTGCATCCTGTTTGTACTTTGCTGGGGCTTGGCAATGGACAGAAGGAGCTCATCATGTGACTCTTTCCTTTTTCCATGCTGCAAGCCCTTAAAATTACCAAGTTGATGGGTATGGCTGAAACACAAAATTAATTCCTTCAAAGACATCTCAGCAAATGAATCCCATAGCAGATGCATCCATGTTATTTACAACTTATCAGGAAACCAGGGTGGGCCATCATGGGATAGTCACAATGGCAGGTAATGCATGTAATAGGAAATTTACAATTTGATTTAAAAATTGAATAACATAGTGGTGTAAAAAGATACCTAATCAAATCAAATCTTATTGCTTTGATTAATCTGAGCAGGTACTTCCACATTATAGACACTTGTTAACAAAGGTTGAAAGGAGACTTCATCATTTAAAAATTCCTGTGTTTGCTAAATCTGAGCCTCTAGAATATTTTACCTATGTTCAAGGCTGCAGTTAAATGGTAGCAATATGAATTTCATGTGGGTGGTTTCTTTCACGTACACCCTCTATTCAGACAGGCAAGTCTCAGGTTCACATGGTTATTTCGGCACCATTAACAGAATGCAAGTTCTGATCATCAAAGCACCGCCTGACACTTCTCCTCACCTCATCGGCTCATCTGTATGGTTGGTTTCTAAGATCAGCTCTGTGTATCCTCCACCACCGGTGTGCTAGAAGAAATCCTTACCTTCGAGTGAACATTTGGAAATTTAGTGATATTATTCTTCTTTAAAGCTGTGATAATATCTTCAATGGCACCATCTTTTCCTTCGTATACATGTCTCTTATCTTTAACTTGACGCCTTCTTAATTCTGCAATTAATTCTTGCTGCTGCCTCTTTGATTTATGAGAGGGAGACTTTGGGTCCTGCTGCCCCATCAGAGCATCCTGCTCCAGAAGCTTCTCCATGAGTGCTTGTTCCTGCTTTTTCCTCAGCTCGTTCTCCTCTTCTGCTTGCTTATAGGGCTTTCACAAACCGCACAAAGATGGGAAAGGAGACAGAGGGTGGTGTTGTTTGGGGGTTTTCTCCAAAATACTTCACTACATTATCAAAGGCATCCTGGGCAATCTTGGCATCATCCTGCAGCTTCTTCAGCTTCCCCTCATTGTCGAGAATGAACTCCTTCAGCAGCGTGTTGTGGTCATGCATGGTATACTCCCTCTTGGTCAAGTCCATGCCCCTCTGGAGCTCCTTGACATCCAGTAAAACATTCTTAAGGGAGGCTGTAGCAGCTTTCTCCACATAATGAAGCTCATTATAAAATAGGGACACTTGGTGATATTTTTCCTTTACAACATTTGATATATAGTGCAACAGTGTTTGCTTTTGGTCTGTTGACTTTGTATCTAAGAGCAGATCTAAACTCTGAAGCTTAAATCCATAAACTGCTCCTCGTTTGCTGCTATTCATATAATTCCCAAGGGCCAAAATGATCTCCAGAATTTTCTTGAGTTTTTGAGATGACTTTATAGAGACAGATGCTGCTATAATTGAGTCCAGTTGAGGTGTCAGCATCTGGATGCTTTCAGCAAAGTTCCCGATGAAGGCCATAATGGTCATCTTCTGCATGAGCCTCTCAATTTTACTGAACTGCATCATAAACCGGTCTTCATCTGACAAGTTCTCCAGTGGTTTCCTTTCCCGCTCATAGAGCCAGAGCCCTTTCACCTCATTCTCCATTGGCAAGAACCTCATCAAACATTCTACAAAGTCTGCTGGTAATGTCTTCAAGTCAAATACATGACTAGCTTTACATATCTCATCAGCAGTCTTTCCAGCTTTCCTTAAAGTTATGGCAAGATTTTTGGCCCTATTTGCTTCTAGTAATGTCACTTTGTTGGATCTCTTCTGCATTATCTTCTGTTTGCTTGAAGAAAGATCAATGGCAGGACCTTGAGCTTCTGTCTTAAATATTTCCTCAAATTCATCCACATTTAGATCCTCCAGAATTTGCTAATCATCAATTTCATTGAAGACTGTGCCATTGATCTGATTTGGCTTCAGGGCAACCCAGTTAAACATTGGCATTCTGAATTTTGTCTTGATTGGCTTCTTAATTTTCACAGCTGCTAATCCTGAGTTGAAAACCACTGTGGGAAAAGACATCCCGGGCAGTGAGGGTGCAGAGGGAGGAGGCGGGGGTGGTAAAGGAGGAGCTGGTACAGTCTCAGCTGCAGGACCAGGAAGAGGAGGAGGGGGAGGGGGAAGAGGGGGCGTGGGTGGAGGAGGTGGTGGTGGCATAGGTGGTGTTACTGGACCATTTTGCACTGCTTCAGGTGCATCTGACAACAGAGGTAGTGGTGGGGGAGGAGGAGACAGGGGTCCTGAGGAGGCAGCCCCTGTTATTGGTCCCACAAAGTTATCCACTGCCACTTCTGACCCTGTGGACAATGAGCCAGAAGCCACCACTGGAAGTATGGTGATGTCCCCATCCCCTTTCTTCTGAATTTTAATGGTCCCTTGTTTCTCCAGTTCACGAATCTTTTTTTCCAGGGTAGACTGTTTTGAACGGCTTCTTTTTCTTTGACCATTTTCCTTAATGTGTGAACCTGGGTATTTGCATCTTTGTAGATTTCTCAAACCACATCCAGCTCTATGTTCCTCTGCATGAGTGGCTTTTCCAGTTCCACAATCTTGGACATGGCTTCATTCTCTGTGTCTTGCAGTTTTTCGGACAGATGAGAGATGTTTTCTTCCAGTTCTTCCACCCTCTCCAAGGCTGCATTCTTGGTTTCAGCGTCTTCCAGCAGAGCTCCCACATCAAACACATTGTCCAGGTAAGCCTGAATCTGTACCTGCAGCTTGTCACTCTCAGTGTGTTTCAGCTTATCCAAGTACTCGTCCAGGCCTAACTTGGTAAATTCATACTGGAGGTGAACTCTGAAATTCATGTCATCTACTGAATGGACTATGATTAATAAACTGCATAGAGGCCACCATAAAATCTATGTTATTATCTTCATTCCTGAAATGTTCCATCAACTTCTCAAAGTGCTGTTTTTCTCTGTAAACCTCCTTAAAGTTGTCAAATGCTGATAAAATGATTTCATGCCCGCCTCTGACAAGATAAATGGCTGCCAACAGTTCTAACACAAGGGCTTTTGTTTTTGGATTCTTGTTGTTCAAGCTTGGTGCAATCTCGTTGACAGCATGTGGATGAGACATGACCACATTGAAGCCATATTGATAATTCATGATGGCACATAAACACATGATACAGACATGCACGTCATCTTCCTTACTCACTAATCTTGAATTTTTCAAGGTTCTTCTGCCCGGCAACGTATTATATCACAGTGCAGAATGCCGTCCTGAGCGGGACACGCTGTTGGCCACAGGGGACAGCAGGTTGCTTCCTCTGTGCAGGTCCTCAATGGACCTACTCCAGGGCTTCGATTTGTCCACCGAGCTCTCCACGGTGCTTTCCACACTCTCAAAATCAAAAGTTACCGCATACTGCGCAAATGACAGACATTCCACTAGAACGTTTGTTTTCTTCATTCAAAAACTCTCTGACCCATCCAATATGGTTGGTTCTTAAAGAAATTTCCAGTTCTCTTAGCACTTATGTGGATTCTTGAACACGCCGTCTGAATTTCTTCCTAGTTACCGCTGGATCCAGATAGCCTTTGAGTTTTTGAATACATGTATGGGGAGGATTCTTCACCTGGAATCGTTCCTGATCACAAATCAGTTCCCACTTTTTCTCATTGTCATACTGCCGCAGTAACCTGGCTTTGTCAGGTGGTAGGTTCATAGCATTCAGCACGATGACAAATCGCTCCTCCAGTTCACCTGGCTCAAGCATTCGGCAGCTTCGAAGGCACGTTGTGTGCCCTGAAATCGGTCTGCTGCGAATTCATGCTACCCGTGTTGCCCATGTTGGCTGCACACCGGGGCCGGATGCTGCTCCAGGCCCCTAGCGTCCATGTCAGAAATCAGAAGAGCTCCTGGCGGCCGGCTTCCACCGGCTGGGGCGACCTGCCAGGCTCCCCGCTTTCTGCTGCGCCCTGGAGACTGTACAGAGCGCACGGGTCCCTAGCAGCGCTCTGAGCTGAGCCCCCCTGCCTCCCGGCCTCCCTCATGCTCCTCGCCACCCCAGGGCCGCCCCGATCTCTTTTCCTCTGGAGGGATCGTCAGGGCACCGGGTGCCTATCTGCATGTTGCTCCTCTGGCACCCCTCTCCCTGCCAGCAATCCCAGACAGCGGGTGCATGGCGCCTCTGACTCGATCTCCCACCCGGGCCTCCGCCACCACTGACACTTCCAGCCCACGTCCACCAAACGCAGCGCTCACTCCGCTGAGCACCTCCAGCAGACAAATGCAGCTCCACACTCTCAACCTATTTATTTATTTTTTAATGTCATTGTAAATGGGATTGTTTTCTTAATTTCTCTTTCTGATAGTTTGTTAACAGTGTATAAAAATGCAACCAATTTGTGAATGTTAATTTTGTATCCTGCCACTTTATTGAATTCATCTATCAATTCTAATACCTTTTTTTATGGAATCTTTAGGGTTCATGTAATCTGCAAATGACAATTTTATTTCTTCCTTTCCCATTTGGATGCCTTTTATTTCTTTTGCTTGTCTGACTGCTATGGCTTGAACTTCTAGTACCATGTTGAATAAAAGTGGTGAAAGTGGGCATCCTTGTCTTGTTCCTGATCCTAAGGAATACACTTTCAAGCTTTTCACCATTGAGTATGATATTAGCTGTCAGTCTGTCATATATGGCCTTTATTATATTGAGGTATATTTTCTCTATTCCTACTTTTTTGAGAGTTCTTATCATAAATGGATGCTGGATTTTGTCAAAGGCTTTTTCTGCATCTATTGATGTGATCATATTATTTTTATCCTTCATCTTGTTTATGTGGTGTTATCATATTAATTGATTTGCAGATATTGAACCAAACTTGCATTCCAGGAATGAATTCCACTTCTTCATGGTGTATGATCTTTTTGTATTACTGAATTCAGATTGCTATTATAATATTTTGTTGAGGATTTTTGCCTCTGTATTCATCAGAACTATTGGCCTATAATTCTCTTTTTTTGGTAAAATCTTTGTCTGGTTTTGGTATCAGATAATGTTGGCATATAAAATGAGCTTTGGAGTCTTCTTGACTTTTTAATTTTTTGGAATAGTTTGAGAAGGATAGGTGTTAATTCTTTGAATGTTTGGTAAAATTCTCCTGTGAAGCCCTCAGGTCCAAAACATTTGTTTGTCAGTAGTTTTTCCATCACTGATTTGATTTCATTAGTAATTATTTGTCTGTTCACATTTTCTGTTTTTCTTTTTGACTCAGATCTGGAAGACTATGTTTCTAGGAATTTATCCATTTCTTCCAGGTTGTCTAATTTGTTGGCATATAATTGTTTGCTGTATTTTCTTATAATCCTTTATATTTCTGTGGTGTCAGTTGTCACTTCTCCTCCACTGCTGAAGTTATTTACTTGGGTCTTCTCTTTTTTTTCTCAGTGAGTCTAGTTAAAGGTTAGTCAATTTTGTTTGTCTTTTCCAAGAACAATCTCTTGGTTTCATTGATCTTTTGTACTTTTGTTAGACTCAATTTCATTTATTTCCATTTTGATCTTTATTATTTCCTTCTTTCTACACATTTTGACTTTGCTGTTCTTTTTCTAGATCCTTTAAGTGTGAGGTTAGATTGTTTGATATTTTTCTTGTTTCTTGTGTTGCTACGAATTTCCCTCTTAGAACTGCTTTCACAGTATCCCATAGATTTTGGGTTGTTGTATTTTCATTTTTATTTGTCTCAAGGCATCTTTTGATCTCTTCCTTAATCTCATTGTTGACCCATTTATTGTTTAGTAGCATGTTATTTAGCCTCCAAGTGATTGTGTGCTTTTCAGTTTATTTCTTGTGATTAATTTCTAATTTTATTCCATTATTATCAGGGAAGACGCTTGATGCGATTTTAATCATCTTAAATTTATTGATATTTATTTTGTGGCCTAACATGTAGTCTACTCCAGGAAAAGTGTACTTGAAATGAATGTATATTCTGCTGCCTTGGGGTGAAATGTTCTAAAAATATTAATTAAATCCATCTGGTGTAATGTGTCATTGAAAGTCCCTGTTCCTTGTTGATTTTCTGACTGGATGGTCTATCCATAGATGTCAATGTAGTGTTTTAGTCCCCTACTATTACTGTCGATCTCTCCGGTTTTGTCTGTGAATATTTGCTTTATATATTTAGGTGCTCTTACATTGGGTGTGTAGATGTTTACAGGAGTTATATCCTTTTATTGGATTGATCACTTTATTGTGATAAAATGTCCTTTTTTTGTCTCTTTTCAAGCTTTTGTTTTAAAGTTTATTTTGTCTAATAAAAATATTTACTCCAGCTATATCCTTGGTTCCATTTCCATATATTTTTTTCATCCCTTTACTTTCAGTCTCTGTGTGTTTTGATCTAAAGTGGGTCTATTGTAGGCATCATATATACGGATCTTCTTGTCTTATCCATTTAGCCACTGTATGTCCTTTATTGGAGTATTTAATCCATTTACATTTAAAATAATTATTAAGCGAAAAAATGGCCATGGTGAGGAGGGCTCCCTGAGTTCTTCCCTGGAAAGCACAGCAATTTGAGCAGCTGGAGTGCAGCAAACAAACCTCTACCAAACACGCTGAGCGGCGAAGGGACTCCCACACCAAGTACTTCAAGGTGGGCAGACCAGTCCAGTGGGGGAAGAGGGAGGCAGGCGCGTGGAGGCACAGACCGCATCCACGGCTGCTGAGGCTTGGGGGTCTCAGAGAGCAGATCAGAGAGTCCCCATGGCTCGCTCCCTACACCTCCAGCCCACGCTAAGGTAGAATCCTCCAGCCAGCATGAGCGGAGGCACAGTCCATCTGCACCCGCGGCTGCCGAACAGTGGAAATTCAGGACAAGGCGGAGTGGTTTGTAGCATCTGCGCGGGCTCAGCCTCTGGACTGACGGTCCCTGCCAGGAGTGCGACAGGAGCCCCAAGGCACACAGTTTCTGAGGCAGAATTCTCAAACAGGCCAGCAGGAGAATAGGGAAGCGAGAAGCGTGGAAACACAGCCCATACCCCACAGCTGTAGAGACACAAGCTGCTTTGCCAGGGGTTGCCCCTGGAGAGCAGCAGGGGCTCTGCGGGAGCCTCAGAGGGGGCTTTTTTCTTTTTCCTATTTTTTCCCCTTTTCTCTCAGATAGGAAAAATAAACTGCATAGATAAGTGCCAGCATCCCTCAGAAACCTTGGCCCCCTCCCTGCCAGAGCCTGAGGCTGACTCCTGAAGAGAGGAGTAAGTCAGAACAAAGGTGCTTAGACTCCCTGGAGGTTGAGTAATCTACATGACAAGAGGCTGCAGGAGGGAAGTACTAAACACACTGTCCCTGCTCCCACCTCTCCTGAGTGGCTTGGGAAGCAGAACACAGGAAGGCCTACCAGCAGCTCTGAAATCTCCACACCCCCACCCTCCAACAGCCCCAGTGGAAAGAGCACCCAAAAATGCACATCCAGTCCTCTGGCTGTGCAGAAATCAGAGTGCCTCTGGACAGGCAGGAGCAGAAATAACACTGACTTTGTAAAAAAACTACCAATCACACCTCATAACTCCACTCATCTAATTCAGACCTACATTACCAAGCTCACTCTAGGTGCCAGGCCAATGGCTCTGCCCCCACAAGACACACAGTAGTGTGTGTATAGCAGAGGAAAACCTGGAGAGAGCTTGTCGGACTTCAGCCAAGATGGGCACTGGTTATTTCTTGGTTTTTCTCCTTTTTTTTTGATTGGTTTCGGTTTGGGTTTCTCTTTTGGTGTGTTATATTGTTATTGTTAATTGGGTTCTCTTGGATGTTTTGGGGTGTTTTTTTTAATTGATCACCTGTGTTGATTGTTTTGGGATTTTTCTATTTCATAAGTAATTTTAGTTTTTTATATAGGCATATATGTGGATATATATGTCCATATATATAGGGGTGTAGATATATATTTTTTCTCCTAATTTTTCTCCCTTTCTTTCCTTCTCTTCTAACCTCTCTCTCTCCCTTCTTATCAACTTCCTTGTCACAGCTTGATTTGCCTCCTTCTTTCCATTTTTTCTGCAAGGTTTTTTTTTCTTTCTTTCTTTCTTTTTTCTTCTCTTCTCATTGTAATTGTTTTGTTTCTATTGGTTTATTTACTCCTTGTGTATGATTGATATTTCTATACATGTTGAGTGTAGGGTAATGGTTGTTTTGCACATCAGAGAGTATCTGGTTACTTTTGGTGGCTGCTGTGGTTGTGCTCTTTGATCTTTTTTGCCCTAAAACACGCTATGGAGTGGGGCCCAGCCAAAGAAGCACAAGAATCATC